TGACTTTCTTGAAAATAAACTTGGGCAATTACAGACAGCCTTTCAAGGAATTTTTTTCACAAGAGGGTTACGTCAAATACTTTACAATTTACGCCGAGTAGGCCAAGGATTAATTTGAATGATATCATCATTTAGATGACAACGCATTTATTTATTCATGAAAAACCTGCTACAAAACAATGGTAGATATAAAATTGTGTTGCAATGAAAGAACATCTATGAAGAGCAAGATACTAACATGGAACCAGTATTTCAAGAATATTTCTCTAAATAAAATATTTTTTCAAAAATAATATACATATAGTTTCAAAAATCATACGTATTTGTAATAACATATGCCTTCAAGTATTACGGACGCTTTATTTATCCAAAACATTTTCGTGTGACAGAATGCACACTTTTAGAGCGAGGGAGCACCACACTAATTATCGCATTTCGGGCTTTACCGGACAAGGCGCTTGAATGATTAAATACTAAACTTTCGCCTTTTCACCGAACGGAATGACCTTTATGCCAGCACTATTTAGTGTTGAGAATTGAGTACCGCTCAAGCCGGTGCCAGGGGGCGTGAGGGATGTTGTAGTTATTCATTATCCCTCATGTACAGACTCAATCAAACCGAGTCTGCAATTTTTATGTCATTTAGTTGTGATTAATGCCTCCGAGAGATCGCATTGTTTTCAGATTTTTAAAACATAATTCATCTCTTCGCACCGATTTATATACTAGAATGAATAAAAAATGTAAGAATTGGCGAAAAAGCGATAAGATTCTACTTTGGGGTCATGATTTCTGCAAGCGTCTTTAGGTACTGGTCTAACACTGTGGTGAGTTAAATCAACCCTTCTTAAGAAAAACAGTTTGTGACGTAAAAAATGAGAAAATAAATCAACAAGGAAAGGCGGCATTAAATGAACGCCCAAAACAAAACCCAGACAACCGAACTATGGAGACTTAAAACTAGGAATCATGGCCCTTGGAACATTAAGTCATGATAGTTTAACACGTTAAACGATTCCTATATAGAAAGGACAGTCAATTATACTTAAGGACAGTGAAAATGCACGGTCGGGATAATTGCATTTTAACAAGGAAAATATATTTCTTTTAAATATTTTTTCACGGTTTCATAAAACCGAATGCATTCCGGTCATTTAGATACCAAAGTTATGAAAAATGATTGCATTTTAATGAAATTATTGCATAATAAAAAATAGTACCCGGGGAATCAAAAGTAACACTTTTGGCTAATTGTGATAAAATCACAACAGAAAAACAGATTGAACAAATTCATGGTTACTTTTTGAAATGAAATTATTTATTTTTTTAAACTGTTAATTATAAACTTGTTTTACACACCTTTCTAGAAATGTTAGACACAAACGAGCAATTAAAATCTTTATGAAAATTAATATTAAACTATGCCAATGGTCAGTTTTAGAAATCGTAAAAGCTCACATGGAAATTGCATATTCTCACTTTTCCTCTATAAAAGGTGATAAATTTCAAACACTACTGAAGACTTGCTAGCAAATTGTATGCAATGGTTCTACAAAGAAACCATTACCGCTGGGTTTATTTAGGACAGATTCAGTCTGGTCTATCTTACAAACAAAGCGCCAACCGTTTTGGTGTCCATCGGTCTACAATTTATCGGCTTCACCAGCGTTTTTGCACTACACTACAGGCCGAATGGCGTCAGATTCCACAGGTGACTATCCGCACCGTAAGATCTATGAGGCGGCGATGTACATCTGTAAGAGACGCTGATGGAGGACATTGTCGTTTCTCAAGATCCCGACGGTGACATTACGAACAGACATTTATGAGTGAATTTGTATTGGATTTTCATTTTGGTTTTTGCCATTACTCTGATGAAAAAGTGTGATTTTGGGATTTTCACCTTAGGTTCTTCGATTTACTGGTATCCATTTGATTTCAAACATTTTTAATTATTTTCAGTTGTTAAATGTGTGTTTAGTATTAAAGTAATGATATATATCTAATTGAGTCGTTAGTGTTTTGTTTTCATGTAATAAAATACATATAGTGCGGGCGTGCGTTTTCATTGTCCTTAAGTATACATAGAACGACAGCCATTTCGCACCGTCCTTAAGAAAACTTCTTTCGTTGATTAGTTCAGAACAGTTTTAACGGTAAAGTTTCATTTCTCAAGCTCCAGCTAAAACACCTATAACTCATACCCTGCACAGGTAAAAGAGGTAAGGTCCAAATCCTTACACACACAAAACAGCAACAATTAGACTAAAGGCACTTTAATACAAATCAAAGCCGTGCTGATTTCACTCAAGCTAAAACACCTATAACTCATACCCTGCACAGGTAAAAGAGGAAAGGTCCAAATCTTTACACACAAAAAAACCAGCATCAAGTAGACTAAAGGCACTTTGATACACATCAACCCTATTGTTTGTGGTTCGGATCGGAATATCCGTCCCGAGAGGACCCGTCCATGGGCCGTAACCCGGATATTCCGATCTGAACCGCAATAAATGACAGATATTATATGTATGAGTGGACAGAATAAGATGAGACACAAATTGGAAGACATTTCAGATAATGGCAATCATAGCGCTTTATACATTGATATTAAAACAAAACAAATATCTGTTTACACCGCAAACAAGTTTATCTTTCTGAGAAGATTGCAATTGATAAAAAAGAAGGAATCTGAATGAAAAAAGTCTAATTGAATAATCCCTTATCTTGGCAGTGAACTCAACAGACTGTAAGCTTGGTATGTTATATATCTTTTGTAAACAAATATGAATCAAAATGACAGGAACTCGCATCATTCCATATTAGAATTTCTGAATATAGTTGTACATGTACTCAATGACCCGTTTGTTTCTGAAAATGTGGAAACAAAGTGATCCCTCGGAAGCATTAATCACAACAAAATTACATAAGAATTGCAGACTCGTGTGGCGGCTGTTAAAAGTCTCCCCGTACATTTAATCAATGATGTTATATTTTCGATCCTTGAAGATCGTTCAGCACGTCATTATTGTTGTGTATACATTTTAGATGGTATTTTAAGTTTCTTGTATTTGGCCTTCTTCAACTTGGGTGGTTCCAGTATTCCTACTTGAATACTGTATAATCCCCTTTAGGATATGTTGCCTGCTTTTTTAATTTGTCTTTTGACGTCTAATCTGTGATATGCAGGCTTCATAACCTCAGATTCCCATTTTCAAAATTCCCCGCCAATTGTTTTCTCGTTTAGGGCAAAAGCATTCTTTTACTTGGGGACCATACGCCGCTTTTCATGGAATGGCACTAATGTGTCATATTGAAAGTTCCATGACAACCGCCGTATGAACACATCTGCGGATGTTTCAAAATTCAAAATTTTCGTGTTTAAATGTTGAATGACGGTAACTTTCACTTTTCAGTACCGTCCATGAACAGATCAATCAAACCGAGTCTTCAACATTTTCAATTTTGTCGTGTTGGGCTTTCTTTCGGGATTCTGTTTTTCTCTTTTTTATTATGACGTCATCACGCACATATAATATATATATTTCGTGTGTGATCCTGCGTTGCAATCGAAACAACCGCCGTCTGCGTTGAATTCATTTTTGTCATTTATGTTATTAACAGGCAATGATAAGTTCCCAAGTTTCCAAAATATGGTTATCTTGTAAAAGTATCATTCATATGATTTGATGCCGTATTATAGGGTCGTATTGCACACATTTGTACGTGTTTAAACCAAAATTAGGCAAAAGTGGCGACCCCTTGTCAAACTGTACAGAAGTGATTGTATAAACGGCAATAAATTGCACCGTGTGCGTGTAATATGTTGAAAGAGTACATTTGTGGGCTCAACTTTCAGTAAGTGTTTCCAGTAAAACATTAAATCATAAAACAAAATTCAGACATATGCTTACCGACAACAGCAAAAGGCCATATTTTATCCACTGCTTCTGCGACGAATACTCCACCGCATCTTCGAAAGCTACCAGTGTGGATACTATATTTTGCTGCATCCTACTTTATATTTACAATTTTCAGTTTGTTTTGATTGAATTCAAGTCATACAGTCATACGGCAACTTTCCAGCTTTACTGGTGAAAGAAAATCTCAGGTGTCCCTCAATGCTTAAGTGGAACCCCCGACAATGTATAACTACTTGATAGATTTACTCATTTAAAAGTTCCTGATAGGATTCCAACCCGAAGCTTTGAGGGACAAGTGATTTAAATTCATTATTAATTACTATGTCGCTGAAGCCAGTGTTTATATTCAGTAAATATTATGGACTTATTGAACCCTGAGCCCTTTTACTTTATTAATCAATCAGTTAAATTTCTTTAATTTCCTTGTCAGGTACTAATATTTCATTTTAAGTATTATTGAGATTTGTTTTAATATAATAATTCTTATTTAAATAAGTACTAAAAGAATATTAAATTCTTCTAAATCCATTAATAATTGTATTGAACTCATTGAATATTATAATACTTTTATATTCATTTATGGTTCAATAAATTCAGATTTGGACATGCACTCATTCAATATCATTAATTGATAGCCTCTTCAATACTGCTGAAACAATGTTTGCTCACTGCTCACTTGCTGCTGAAATCATCAATACAATATTTGTATCTTGCTCTGGAAGTGAAAAGATAAATGAATGCTTTCATTTTTTTTGTATTGACAGAATTAGCTTTTACGGCCGTGCTGTTCAAATAGGACATTCATTGTTGTTATGTATATGAAGATAAATTACAGTAAACGATGTGTTATATTATTGATTGTCGTAACGGAGAACATGTAGAGTTGAAACGGTCGGATATAATTTTCATTAATAACAATGTAAAAATATATTTGAGGTTGTGTCTGATGTTTTATCAGAACAGGTCATGTGCTGTATGATTATGCGAAAATATTTGGATGACACTATTTGCGACTGGATATATTCTGGATATACATGGAAATAATGCAGATTCATTTTAAGAAATAATAAACAACACTTGAAGTATTAATATTTTAATTTGAGCAATATTAAGAAGAAAGATTTATGCAAAATATACAAAATGTACAAAGTAAAAAAGTCAATATATAAATACACTTACTGATACAATGAGAGAATGTGTATTTATGTTTCAGATTTGTTAAATCTTATTTAACAATATTAACTCACAGGCCATCATTTAAATGATTTGCATGCAGTTGCACTACTTACCCCATTTAAAAGGCTTGTATTTATTTATTGATCTCTTTTTATTATTTTTAGGAAGTGGATGTCAAAAATCGGACTTTATCAAAATAGCCATATTACATTTTGATTGGCATTCTTCATACCCGTGTTTATAACCAATTACAAAGTTTAATGAACGAAGGAACTACGCATGTATTTCCTTACAAATTAATTAATTAATTATTAATTATTTAATTCTTCCTACCTATTCAATAAAAGGGTAATTGGTAGTGCAAGTGGAAACAAATATTTTTAGGAACATAGCCAAGCATTATTGCTTTATTGTAATAACCTGGTTCAAAATTATTCTATTTCGTAGAAATTTGACCAGTAAATGTACTGGGTTATTAAAGCGTTTAGAAACAGAAACAAATTTGAATCCATCAGTTATTTCTTTTTAAAGTTAATACGGAATACTACAAAACATAAGTGTAAATGTAATAAATAACAATTGAGCAAAATATTAGAAATCTAAATTCAACACATAATAATGATATATTAATTATTTTCATAACATATTAGAAATCTTAAAAATTTTAGTTCTGCGCAAATGATGTTATCATTTTATGATAATATGTATTAGGATGAATCAAAGACAATAATCCCAAAATATGCTAATTCATAGATACATATCTCCGAACATTTGCATAATGAGCCAATATACAAGAAATTTTTGATGTCATACACATGTAGAAACTTGCAAACCAGCAAAGTTGGATACTGTAGAGAACATGTAGCATCATTAACAGAATAAGTAATATTTCAAGAAAATAAAACGTCAAATTTTGTTTTCATACCACAGAATCGAATGTTACATCAATTGAATTATATCTCAAAAACAGAAATAAATGAACATCAAAATGATACTAAATTTATCTTATTCCCTCTCTTCTCTCTATGAAATTATTCGAAACTAACGGGACAATAAAGTTGAAATAAAATCCAAACTATATCGTTGCTTTATTGTTGTTGTACACTCACGTTCAAGGCAGCTTTACCAGCTCTGAATGAATCTGTAAAAACAAATATCAAAACAAATATAATAAAATATCCGAGTTGTCATGAAATAATGTCAGCGGTTTGAATTATTTATGCCTTAAAACATCAAATTGTATCAAATAACAATAATTCTATCAGAATGACTGATATTATACTCGGTGTTTATTGTTTTGTAATAACGATAAACATAACGTCACATCCGGTATGACAACATTAATGTCCTGTGTACCGTGTTGGAAAGTAGCATACATATTTTATTGCGGCGGAAAAATCCATGTCTTTGAGCATCATCACAATTTTGAGAGTGTGAAAACAAGTGACGTCTGTATTAGAAATCACACATACACCATGTACACCTTGCATTTACGCCGGGTGTGGTATAACATTTCTTTCTTGCATGTTTATTGGTTTCAATTGCTATTTTTTCTTCACATTACACACGGCCAGACAGTGTCCATTAGGAGCAAATAATAGCGTGTTTGTTGATTTGTTGGTTGGTTGGCTGGCTGGTTGGTTGTCAATCCTCGTTACTAAGAATCTGAAATATTTATATTAATTGTTTAAAATACATTGTAAAATTGTTTACCAATTTATGACTTGTTGACTTCTTAACTTTAGAAGATTGTCTTACACGTTTCCATGATATGTACAGACTATGAAATTAATACTTCTTACATGAGAATGGCTTTTATAATTTCATTCTCCCTTGCATAGGCTTATGATGGACAAATACATTTTTAATTTATTTATCTATTTATTTACTTTTTTCTTAAAACCGTAGAAAATATTGTCGTTTTAATTAGACACCTTGCAAATATCTATATTTAGTTACATACTAAGATTTTATGATCAGTCCCTTATCGCTGGTGAAATTATCAATTCTTTGAAATCATTAAACTTCTTTCAATTCTAGAAAAGAAAGATTTCCCTGGAATGTTAATGACGCTCTGTAGACTTACGGGAGAAATTCAAACAAAAGAAATAACATAATAGGTTAATAACGACATACTTATGTTCATATTCATATAATAAATGTTCTGACAGTCTACTAAATAACCTGTCATTATCAGAAAATTTACAATGATTTTTCTCTTGTTGCTTAGCAACGTACTGATATTTAGTTGATATGTCTCTAGAATAGATACATCTCTATACGACTTTGTTCTGGATAAGATGCTACCTTGTCTTTATATAACAACTCATATAAATATTCATAAATGTCAGAGATTTTGATTTTGCATTCATTTAAAATTATGTAATTTTAATTTTTAAACTAGAAACATTATTTTAATTTTCAACAAAATGTGCTAGAATGAAAACCTTAAATGCTTAATTGCAATTCAATAAATGAATAAATAAAATTAATAATAATAAGCGTCAAGCAAATTTCTTTTCTTCATTTTGTATGACTTAAAATTGACATGTTTGTAGCAAATGCTGACTATAGGTAAAGCATTAAGATATTTCCGTATTTATGCAACAATATAAAGTTAAATTTTAACAGTTAGCTTGATATTGCAGTGACTACATCGATAATATGTCGACTATCAACTTTTACCATCCTCGATGTATTTAATATCTTAATGGGAGCGGTGACCTAGTGTGGTACCTGCCTCCCGGCAAGCCCCACTCCAGTCACGATTATGTCTCCGCAAATGACACCAGAACTGATAAGTTATGGGGGGGCTGACTCGGAAGAGATTAAAAAGATTAATATAGGCTGCAAGAACATAAATAAATATAAATAATAATAAATATTTTCTAACTAGACTGATATATTTTTGAACTTGCCAGATTTATGACTACTGGCAAGTTGTCATTCCCTTCAAACTTATCAGATGAGTGCAAATAGTTCATTTTGATCGCATAAACTTAGATGAATATTTAAAAATCCTCCACCTTTTTTGACTTTTTGTATTATTATTTATAAGCGAAATGTTCGTTCGGAATTTATATATGTGTAAAATATTTATTTTTCCCAGTACCCAACACAATGCTCATATTGTTACGGGGCAATACAGATGCAGTATTGATTTTCCTCGTGCGTTCTAATTAAGTATTTTATTGTCGTATCCCTGGGGAAATTTAAAATACAATTAACGTCTGGTTGTATTGGGAAAATTTGAAAGAGGAAACTGAATATTAAATGACAACATTCAGATGTTGCTGTTAGCAGAATATCAAATATTCAACGATCATTGTATCTTATTTGACCTCATATAAAACTGTTTATGAATAACATTTCTGTCCGTGTAGAGAAAAACGTATACGACATATATTTATCTGGTATTTATATTGAATATGTAATAGGAAAAAAGTAACAATAAAATTGAGCTACTTGGTACCCCATTTACATGTTTATATGAAATGCAATTATCAGAGGTATATAATGAGCGATAGTCAGTATTATTAATCGAAATGTAAAAAAGGGAAAAATAATAAATATTATTTATCAATTTAAATAAGGGGGAACAAAATTTATGCAAATATCTTCCAATAGAAACATAAATAATACAAATATGTATAGAGCGGAAACACAAGACTGTACATGAATACAAGAGATACCCAACTCATTTATAATTAAAGGGAAACATATGTGATACAATTATCTTTAAGGGAACAAATATCTTAATAAGCGAACAGATTCAATAAGAGGAACATCTATTTAAAAAATCTTGTCTTCAAAGTAATTTAATGCAATCATGTTTAAAGAGTAACATATCTAATACAACATAAAAATACCAATATTATTACTGTAGAGATGAAACAATTTCAGGTAATTAATCGCATGCCCGAACTCATTCACATTATTCGATATTTTCCCCCAAAAATGAAATGTGAATTAGATATCTTTTCCTCCAAAGATAATTGTAAAAATTATGTACCCCTCTAAAGATATTTGCAATAAATATCTCTTAAACTATTTGTGTAAAATATGTTTTCCCCCAAAAAAAGATTTTTATTTTCATTTAATTTCGCTCGAAAGATAGAAGCATTAGATATGTTCCCCTTTAAAGATAATTCTATAACATAGACTTCTCTAAAAATATATTTGTATCAATAATCTAACCCTTTATAGATTTTTGTATTTAAAATAGTTTTTCTTTCAGGAAACAAGTATTTGCATTAAATATGTTACATTTTGAGAGAGAGAAAAAAAGAATGTACAAAAATGTTTCTTTCTGAATATTCTCATACCACTATAATGTATTTTCGGTCCCTCGGAAGATATGTTTATGTGAATTCTGTAGATAGGACATACATGTATATTATAATGTTGTAAAAGCATATTAGAAAAATTAAAATGTTAAACGCCTTACGACACAAAACGCTGAATGTGAAATAAAATTGTGATAAAGGTAGCTAAATATGAACAAAGTGGTATTTGACTTCCATACAAAATAAATAATAATGAAAATATAGCCATTAATAAATGAATACAGGGTCTTTCTATTTGAAAGACCCTAATGAATATGAACAATTAGTGATATGTAAGTAGAAAAAGTAAATATCAAGTCATATAATATTTATGTACGCGTGTGATATTTCATATATAGTTAATATATATGCACACGTCGCCCATTTGTGTTTTTGTTGTTGTTTGTTTGTTAACAAAGAAGAAAAAATGTAACTGAAAAATTAAGATATTCTGAGCACCGGCCAAGTAACAAATGCTTTTTAATTCAAATGAGTTATAAAGTTACATGATCTAGTGTTTTGTTATTTTATTTCTGTATAATTTGAATTTTACGTGTTTTTATGCCAATCTTATAAACCATTTTCTTACTTTTACATCATAACATTTAAATTTATTTGTTCATATTTGTGCACTGTTGGTCACATTCTTTTGAATCCAGAATAAATTAATTTTATCTTAAATTATCTTTAATTTATTTACGTTTTTCAACACAGGTCGAGCCTTGCATATATAAACCTCTGGTTAAAATAATTGTTTTTGTTAAATTTTGTGCTTAGCTACATCAAAATAAAAGCTAGAGATTTCAATAGTACATAAGTTTAAATCAATAATACACAATGCTTCTTTAGCGAAATTTTTCAATCATTCAAACCACTCTGTAAAACAGTGTTAAACATTGTTGAATGAACTCGGCTGTATTATGAGAAATGACTTTTCTGGTGTCATATTATTCCAACTATCTTGTTTTCCTCGATTTTTTTCAGCATCTTACCAGTGTATAAAACAGTATTCATATATGTTTAAATGTATTTGCTGTTCGTATCAAGCAAAGTTTTGTTTTTAAATGGCGATTTTATGTTGTTAAAATCACGTATAAAATGTCAAAATGCAGCGTGTCGTTCACAAATGAGCTTAATTATAGCCATGTTCTTAGCTGTACTTAAACCTTTCATAGCTACTGTTTAATACAGTCTCCTACAGTCATTAAGTATGTAATGTTAAATAATATCAAGTGATCTCTATATTCTCAATTTCGTTCAAGAAATGTGCCTTAATTACTGTTTATGATAATTTGTTTAATAACATTTGTGATTTATAAAAAAAGGGAAAAAAAGAACTTACCTATACTGGAATAAATTATCACAATAACAACTGCAATTAATAAGGCGATCCCAACGCTTAAAAACGTCGTATTTAACACTTTTTTCAATATCCGATATTCTTGGGGGTTTGAGCTCGCTAATATTTGTTCGGCATTAGGCTTTCCTTTCATGCGATTATCTTGCAAACACAAATAAAATCTTTTAAAAATAGATTTTTTCTTTTTCACTCGATGCTGTTTATTTTCTGTGTCTGTCACAACAATGTCAATTCCCGCCGTATCCATCGTGTCACCTGATAACGGAAAGTTATTCCCTTGAATTGTTCTCACATCCGATATTGAAGCATTGGCATTTGTTGCCGCTCTATTTATAGTTCTATTGGAATTTTGTTGCAAACTTGTAGGCCGTGCTTTCGCGCCAGATCCGATTGCAGTATTTTGGGTGTTTATCGCCTGTGCTTCATTTGGCACGATAGCAGTATTCTGTGTAGGTGAACGCTTCTTTTCAGGTATAATTATTCTGTTTTGGTAGTACATAGCACTTCGAAGAATGCTGGTTGTCGGGGGCCTACCAGTACTATTTACGGTAGACTTAGACCCCGAATTGTTTTGAGGAGAAGGGGTTCCAGATTTGTGATCATTTGCCATATTTATTGATGACTTATTCCCTCACGATGGCCCTAGTGTCCCTGCTTCCTAAGTGCATTGAGCATTAGTGTCCTGCAAGAGAGGGATCAGTATAGTTTATGTTTTAAAACAACACATTCCTTACAGTGAAATATTCTAATTTTAGTGTCAGTAACTATTAACCATGAAACTGCTAAATGAAACTAGTTATTCAATATATTTAGTAAAATATATATGTTTCCCAGTACATGTAATCTTATATTATACAAAAACAAAATACAAAACACACGCACTTTTAATTCATACATTTTATGTTTGTAAACGTTACTAGAACGTAATAAGCTATCGGTTGTTAATTTCATTGTTTTATTAAAAATTACTTGTACTGTAAATCTTTACGACAATGCGACATTATAAACTACTCCAAATTTCATACAAACATTGTTTTATAACTAGAAGTAAATTTGTGTTCAGAAGTTGAATGATATGGAATACAAAACTATTTCATTACAGTTAACATTATTGTACAAGTCTTGAAAAATGCTTATAGAAACAATGGCATTTGTTCTTTTCTATATAGTATGTAGTGCGCAATGCAGTATGTATGCATCAGTTGCAAAGATGTAACTATTACTTTTGGCAATAAGATAACATTGTGCGAACGTCATTCACAGAATTTCAAAATATATTTACACAATCATAGCCCGTTTGTCTAAATACTTTTTTGTAACAAATATTATAATGGTTTCCATTAAGACAGTTAAAGGGGTTAAGAAGCCTTAACGTTACAAAATGATACAGACTTTATACCATATGCATTAATTAACTCATATGACGCCATGTTTTTATAGTGAATAAGGTAAAAATAAGGTAAACGCTCGTCTAGAAATGATATTCCGGAAAGTACTCTCTATTTCGATATCAGCATTTTTGCCTGCTTGTTAAAGTGATATGGTTTATTCCTGTTAAAGTATATTTGGATTTATTTTCTTGTTTCACTAGTACAGAATTATATATATTTGTATGTGAAAGTATATTTTTTACAGGATATTTCTTCAGTCGGCAGATATTGAATGGTTTCTAACCCTACTGTACCAGATGTCTGTGAACATGTCACCAAATTAAATCAAACGACACTTAGTCATTAACGTATTTCATGGACATCTAGACATCTGTCAAAGTAGATTCTCATAAAGTTAATGATAAAGTCAAAAGTCAATTTCCATTTAAATGAATGTAGATACAATGTAACCTTCAAAGAAACCTTGAGTTAACAGATAAAAAATATAAATAAGATAATTAATATTGAAACAACAAGAATGTCTAGAAATTTATAAACATTATTTTGCATGTTTACAAATGAAGTATCCCATCCTAACACATAAAAACGTCACAAATTGTATACTACGATAAAGTTTCATATAAATGCTTATGAAAGATACAATTGACCGAGGGCAGTATTTGTACCTTTCCTAGATGATTTCAAACACAAACTACTGGATCGTTTTATGTTTTCAGTTCAGTAAAACTTTTACCTTTATCTTACATTAAGTATTAAATATTGTACAATTTTTTATTCCCGACTTCTTTGAAAATCAAAATATTAGAACAACTTTTGCATAAGTGTTGTATTTAGAACCTACGTCGATCTACTTCTTGAATTAATCGGTTTCACATAAACGTGATCAGAGAAAACAAACATAACCAATTCAATTAGTTGAACGCTCTAAAAATCTTAAATATTCCAATGCGAATTCTCTGGAAGTTCTCATGAATAATATATGGGCAAATATACGGCTTTTTGTTTCAAGCGGAGTGTCATTTTAAAACAGAACGTGTGATCAATAAACGACGAGTTTTTACTTTGAAATTAATCAACATGTTTTCAACCCGATTGTTGAGGGAATTAAGTTTTTGAAATTCTATTTCTGCACATGTACAAACATGTTTATTGTATGTATTATGTAACAAAGCAAGTTGATAAAATAATCCCAAATGTTGCGACGTATTACTGAGAAAGATGATGTTTAAATATTACATAGATATACAGTGGTGTGCTTTATTTCTTCGTTATTTTGACTTGTATTTTTTATTCTGCATTATTTTTTCGAAACGTGTATTTAACAGAATAATTTAATGACCATCAATAATTTATATATAGCATTGAATAGACCAATAAACCAGTCCACAAACAACTAGGCCTCTGTCCTCTCAATAATTCGGACAGACTGGAAGGTTTCCAATAATGCAAGATTCAATATGTCTTGTGTCCTTATTACAGAGAGCGACGGTTTAAGGGGCATATTCTCTACTTGCACCAACAGCCTTTTATATGACTATCACTTCTTCATATTGTCTCAGGGTACTATAAATTTAGGTTCTCATAGGCCGCCAAAAAGTGACCTCTCATAGGCCGCCAAACAGTGACCTCTCATAGGCCGCCAAACAGTGACCTCTCATAGGCCGCCGAGCAGTCACCTATTTTTGGTTCAAAATTCACATCTTTGGTTAATCCTCCGTGGAAATTGCATGAAGGTAAAGTAATACCATTTACATTTAGTCATTCAAAATCCAACCTTCAAGTGCATGATTGGTGAAATGTCCGGGGTCCGTTCTCGACTACCCAAACTTGTGATGTCATTATGTATAATAACTATGAACATTAAATTTATAGGATTTGAACAACTGATATTTGCATTGTCCAAATATGATATACATGTATTAATATATTTGGTTATCTTTCTGTAGATGCTAGGATACTGAGAATTTCATTACACTAATTTAATATTTATTTCATTTGGCAAAAATAGGTTAAACTTACTCCGGCTAACTTTGTATTTGTTGAATATTGAATTCCGTAACTATAATATACTATATATATATATAATGCTACATTACTGAATTAATAATAAAGTTTTTGTTTTAAAATTCTTAATGTTCAACTTATATAGACTCCATTTTGATTGAGGCAATTCTACTATCAAGCGGTAATAAAAGGGAGATCACTTGTATTTATGCTTACTGAATAGTATTCAGGAGTTATTCCTCTTATAGTTAGTAGAGAAACAATAAAAAAATTATTGTATTATGAATTGATTTATTGTTTTAAAATACGTTTTCATATTCTAATTAGGTCTTTCTGATATAACCGCTTAAGTAGAATGATATTAAGACATTACCATTTAGAAAAGTTTCAAAGTTTGATATTATATAAACAAGTCTTTGAGTAAGTGTATATTTAAATTACAACAACAGTCAATAAACAGGTCAATCAAACCGAGCCTGAAACAGTCATGTTCAATCTGTCCGTTTTAGGCGTTCTTTAGAAATCTTGTTTTTTTCTCTACGTCGCAATTAGTATATTTCTTGCGGAATAACAATATAATTGTGGGTACAATTCTAAAGAAAACATGTTAAGTTCGACAGAAAAATAAGAAGCTAATTTTTATCATTTAAACTTTGGTTTCTACAGAATATGTTTTTCTCATTCCTGTACCAGTATGCATTTTGTAATTGAAGTCAGGAAATAAAATAAAGAATGAAATATTTAAATTGCTGCGAAAACAGTATAATTAATGATATCGTTAACTGTCTGTCTGGAATTACATGTCTCGTTATTGTGATAATCATTAATTCATTTGTATGCGTATTATTATAAGAGGATTCGTGCTGCATGCTTACTTATGAGAGAATATCGATTCGTATCTCTTAGTCGTAGATCTTTCCGTTTTTCCTTTATATATTTATTTTTTGTTTGTTTGTTTGTTTGTTTGTTTCATTTTACGCCTTTTCCCAGCAGTATGTCAGTCATATAGGCGGGTAGTTTCCTAACCATCGTTCCTGGAGAGTTACACCAGTACTAGACTACCTACCTCCGCGCTAAACTATCAAAGCATCTCCCTGGGATCGAACCCACGCCAGAGAGGATTAGAAGTCATCGACTCTAACCCCTCGACCACGGAGGCGGTATATTTATTCATTTATTTTTTCTATTCATTTATATATTTATTTCTTTATTTATTTATATACTTTTTTCATTTATTATTATTTTTTTATTTATTTATATAGAGGATATGTGTTTAGTTCAGTGTAAGATCGGAATATATTTCACCGAGTGAGCACCAAAAGGTATATTTCACGAGTGGCGCAGCCACGAGTGAAATATGAACTTTTGGTGTTCACAAGGTGAAATATATTTCGATCTTACACTAAACTAAACAAATTTTCTTTTTATTACATGCAAAGAAACGTTTTAAAAAGACATTAAACCTATTTAAATACTGAATAAAAGCGCGCCAGATAATAATACAACGTGACGTCATTAACGACGTCACGTCATTAAGTTGGTACCCAGTACTGTGCACGCTGGTATTTCACTGAAACAACGTGAGGGGCTTAAATTCAAAACAGTGAAATTATCAAAGTGGTAATTTCACTGTTTGAAACAGTGAAATTACCAGTTTTATATCACGGATATATTTCTGTAAATCACCGAAAAGCATGTAATAATTTTTTTTATTTATTTATATTTATTTATCAATTTTTTTTCTTTATTATTATTTTTCTTATCAATTTATTTTAATTTATTTATCTATTTATATATTTTATTATTTTATTTATTATTTTTATTTATTATTATTTTTTTCTTATTTTTTTTCATCTATTTATTCAAATTTTTGTATATTTTTATTTATTTAATTTTTTATTAATTTTTTATTTATTATTTTGTATTTATTTGTTTATTCACTTATAATTATTTATAACTTTATCTATTTATTAATGAATTTATTTTTCTCTTTTTTTGTTGTTTTTACTATATTTGAAGACAATCAACCAGTGTATTTTGTTTATGGCGCATTAATATTTAAATTTTTTCCTTTAGTGTCTGTATTTTTGTCGCAATCCACATAGCTTGGTAAAACACCGTATATCATATGTAAAACATAGAAAAGATTAATTACCAATTAATCATAAAAAGCCTCTTAGATCTAGTTATGTTATCTTCTCTGAGGAACAGAATTTCAGTGTTTGTTTCAGTGACTTTGACTTTCTAATGTTTTTCTGGCAGTTACAGAATGGATAGATGGGTTCAT